CCTTTGTGGCCACGGAGATTCAAATGCCGTGACTCCGGGCTATCTGCAAATCAGGTGGTCGCCCTGGGATTAGACGACTCGCATAGCGGGTTGGATATCCAGGTTAAAAAAAAAAATCTTATTAACTTGTTGAAGCATCCAAAATCTCCTATAAACATGTTGTAATACTTTCAAATAAGGTGTTTTATAGTTTGGTCTAGAGGTGATAATTTGCGGGCTTGGATTGGGCTTTGACTAGGTCTAACTTGTTTTTTTGTTCAATGGGCCTAATATTGTAAACCCAAACCATTTTTTTTGGGTCTAACAACTTGTCATTGCCCGCCCTATAAACGGGTCAGGCTTGCTCACGGGCTAACGGGCTTGATATTGTAAACCCAAGCCCCCTTTTGATTTTAATATTTCATTTTATTATTTGTCTATGTTGATGTTATAATACAGTTTTATAAGGTTTTGATAAAACGATAATGTTTTTATGTTTGAATAAAATATAAATTTGAAAACCTCATAAAAAATTGAAAACATTATCGATATTAGTATCAAAATAACTACTTTAAAGTTTTCGTTTTTTGGTGTAATTTGTTTTATTAATTTTTTTTATAATTTAATTTAGATTTAATAACAAAGTAATTTATTTTCCGTTTAATGATATAATTTTTATAAAAATAATAGTTAAATATTCTGTTAGAACTCAATGATTATTCTGATTATATTTTATATTTTTATATTTAAAATAAGATGTTTATCATGTATTTGATTACGCTTATCTAAAGTTAATTACATAAATTCAAATATGAAACTTTAATAAACTGTATTAAAGCACAATTTACTTGTAATCTTGAATTTTAAGTAATATGCATCAATAAACAATACTTGATGCATCAACACTGGTTTTTAAAAGTTTATATCAAATACTTTATACTATAATATAGATTAGCTTATCAGTATAATTTATTTCTTTGTAATAAACATAACAGTTAACTGATTTACATTATATTAATTGCGAACTACAATAACATTATAAAAAACCAGGTCATAGATTTTTCTTTGGATGTAACGGATGTGAGTTTATCTTTCTTTTTCACTTGTTTCGATTTGGCTCAGATCGGTATCACAACTTATAAACAAAATCAAAAGCAGATCAAAACCAACCGAAATTGATGAGCTCGATTGGATTTGATTTGTTTTCTTATTATGTTTGGGCTTAGGCCCGTTAGCAGAGAAATGTCTTTGGGCTTCAAAACTTAAGCTCTACAATATACTACTATAGTATATATATAATTATGGATGTTCAAAAACCCGATCAACCCAACCCAACCCAACGTGAAATAACTCAACCCGAAGCAATCCGATGTCTAATCGAGTTGTAAAATGTTCAAACATTAGGTATTGGGTTACTATTATTTGAACCCAACTCAACCCGATGAACCCGATATCCATTTATTTCTTGGATTTAATATGATTGTTGAATTTCTATTAATATATACACTAAACAATTATACTATCACGTACACTATTCATATACATATCTTTTCAATCTATTCACATCTCTGTATAACTCATTCACATATATGTTCAGTAACTGTAAACATATATACGTAAATTGAGAAAATTAACTGAATGTAATATACGTAAGAAGTATGGATAAGTTGTATCAAATGGTTGATGATGAAAAAAAAATTGTAAGTAGAGAAATAACATGTTCAAGATTATAATAATATTTTAATGTACCAAAGTGTCAACCCGGCCAACCCGTACGGTTTGGGTTGCACTTTCGTTTGGGTTGGGTTAAGGTTTTTCAAATCGCAAGCATTGGGTTGAGTTGTTAAAACGTCTTCAACTCGATCAATCCAACCCATGAGTACCCCTATCGATAATAACTGTTTTGGGCTTTTCATTTTATAACTTATAAAAGCGATTTATTACTTATATAAAGCGTTGATGATTGAACTCTCAGAATGTATTAACATTCAAATCACAGTAAATAAACTCTGATCATTCTCTTAGATGTTTCAATTGATTGGTTTGTATGAATGACATCATTTGTATTTTAAACATGCTATACACGCACATTGATGTCGCAACCCTTTCGGAAAAGCCAGAGTGGATATCAACATGACGTTTAACAGAAGGACTAAAATTTGATCACAATCAAAGAATTTATGGACCGAACTCTAAAAGACTATTAATTTATGACGAGTATATGATATTTTGAAAACTGAGCAACCAAGAGGTTCGTTTTATAACAATAGTTCTTTTGGCACGATTATATCTTCAGAAACAAAGAAAAAAAATGTGTTACCTGATTGGTTTGAGCTTGACTCCAAAAGTCAAAAGTAACAGGAGGACACAAGTTCAAATCCAAGAAGGAATAAAAATTCCCCCTTGTGGCCACGAAAGTTCAAATGCGGTGACTCCGGACTATCTGCAAAGTAGGTGGTCGTCCTGAAATTAGTCGGCTCAGGTTAATAAAAAAAAAAAGGGTATAATCAGAAATAAACGTCACAATCAGAAATACGTGTTTTCTTTATTAAAAAAAATAAATGACGAAATTTAGTTAGAAGTATAGAGGTATGATCCAGATGTCTGAAAATGGGCCTCACTTAATCCTTTGTACCAAGTGGTTCCAATCGTTTTTGGACCATACCGGGTCCCACTTCTTTTGAAACAAGAATAATTATTATTATTTCGTAACAAAATACTACTTATTTCAAAAGTACATTACAAGTCTTGAGCCGGTTTCAAGATTAAGCCCAAAAATCTCAGCCTTCATAAGACTGATTGGGCTCTTTTCAACCCCAAAGCCCGTCATGACTTGTGCTTATAAAAGTCCATATATAAAAGTCCATACCTTTTTTTTTATTAACCTGGATATTCAACTCGTTATGCGAGCCGACTAATCTCAGGACGACCATCTGCTTTGTAGATAGCCCGGAGTCACCGCATTTGAACCTCCGTGGCCACAAGGGGGTTTTTATTTCTCCTTGGATTTAAACCTGGGACCTCCTGATACTTTTGACCTTGGAGTCAAGCTCAAACCAATCATACACCACCCTCGTGGTTAGTCCAGACCTTCCCCTCGCCCCACACACACTGAAAACAGCGTTGGAATGCCTGGGCCCAAGCTCGAGCAAATCTATGCCTCATGCATCTCTAGTTATGGCTAGAGACCAAATCAGAAGCAAACTACAAACAATAGGTTGATTTTTGTAAATTTTAAACTATAAAGACTATATCTAGAGTTTTCACAAAGCTTGGGGGTAAAAAATGTAATTAACTTTTAACTTAGAGTAAATTACAAGTTTGGCTCTTGTGGTTGCCACCAACTATCAACTCTCGTCCCTCTTTTAAACTAATTACAGTTTTGGTCATTATGGTTGCCATTTTTTTTTTCAATTTTTGTCCCCTCAAACTAACATATGTTAAAAGACTTTGTTAACTTAAGGGTCTACTTGTCTTTTATCATTTATTTATTTATTTTCTATTAATATATATATATATATATATACATACATACATAAACATATATATATATATATATATACATATATCTGCACGTAAAGCACAATATACCAAATACCTCTTGCGCTCCTACACGACAACACATCTCTCTGTTCACAAACCGAATATTTCTGATGATACCTCATGACAACCACCATTCGTCTTCTTCAACGGTACCTCCGATCCATGAATCGGGATCATGATGCATATAGATACAAATGGCCCACTCGGAGCAAGAATTTCAAGGAACATAGATAACCTTCGAGAAATAGAAGAAACTTTGGAAAGGTCAAGGAAAAAAACGATCAGTGAGCTATTACACACTCTTTCAAGGGTGACTACTTCTAGGCAAACAAATGTATAACAAGAACTCTTGGAATTCCTTGGGCATTCTTGATTGGTGTTGAGCTAACTATAGTGCAAAGTCGTACAAGGCAAGGATTCAAGAATCCCTTAATCCAAATCGAGGAAGTAGTCATACCTTGTTGCATCAAACTAAGGAATCTGAATCTAAATAGTTCGAACAATAAAAATAAATATCATTGTTAAATATTTAAATTTTAATATTTTAGGGAAACATCGCTCGTATTCACCCAATCATCGTGGGAACACCACAACCGTACCTGCAAACCCGAAACCATATTTGCACACAAGCCTATATTTAAACACAAGGACACAAGATCCAGAAAGAGTTCTTCTTCAACGTGGTTGCAGGGGAGACGAGATTTGGGATAGGGGCGATGGTTCGATTGGACCCATTCTTCTATGAGAACTCAATTGCGCGATGCATATATGATTCGTGGCTCGGTGGAACTGTTCGTTGGGTGTAGAGGGATTGAATGAGATCTAGGGTCTGTATAGGAACGATAGCTTGATGTAGGTGATAGGGAAGGAAGGGATCTCCGACAGTTACGTTTTGATTTTGGATTTGGGTTTGCTTTTGGAATTAGGTTTTAAGTTTAGATTTGGATTAGATTTTGAAATTAAGGTTCGATTCCATATCTGAGTTTTTGATTTTGGATTGGAGGTTTTGAATTTTAAAATTTGGGATTTGAGATTTTGATTTTAGATCTGGATTTGTTTTAGAATTTTGGTTGAGATTCAGGATCGCCACATAAGGTGACCGAAGATTTCGCCAGAGAAGGAAAAGATGACTGATGAGTAGGTGGTTCATCAATGATAAAATAAGAAAAATAAAAAGACATGTTAATAGGATAAAATAGGGAAAAGACAAAAAAGATGAAAATGACCAAAGAGCCCCTGAGTTAAACAGACTTTTTCAACGACAGTTAGTTTGAGGGACCAAAAGTGAAGCAAAATAATAACTGTAATGACCAAAATTGTAATTAGTTCAAAAAAGGGGACGAGATTTGATAGTAGGTGTTAACCACAAGGACCAAAGTGTAATTTTCTTCTTAATTTATAAATAGAAATGGGAAATTATTTTTGTCGTGTGTTGCTACTCCAAAAGAAGAATATTCCCACATCCTTTCCAGCTCCTGATTCCTATTCCGGTTTCGATTCCGATTCCGATTGCAATACGAATCCAGTCTAATCCAAATTTCCTCCGGTGTATGTCCATACGACTCTGACGAACTCCATAGCCATGGAGTTGATCATCGTCTTCTTGATGTTTCTCCTTAATTTCGACACCTCTGCACCTTAATTGTCACATCCGTGTCTGTATAAGAGATAATGAAATTTGGGAAAGAATTCGGTATTCATCTGGAACAAACCCTACCTGAATGGAGGGACAAGTATTTGTGTTACAAACTCCTTAAGAGATTCCTTAAGCGCATTCCTAATCCCACCGCCGTTGACTCCGATCACAACCCTCCTCCACCTGACGCCGCTGTTGATCGCGACTTTCCTCCTTTGCCGCCTCACTTGGCCGATCTACAGGAATGGTTCGTTAGGATTCTCGATGAAGAAATCGAGAAATTCAATGATTTCTATGTTGATAAGGAGGAAGAATTTGTCATACGATTTAAGGTTTTTTCTTCTATTCCTTGTTATGTGCTTGGGTGTGTTCATTATTAGTCGTTTATAATTGATATCTTAGTGGTATGAGTTATGATATGAACATTGATTTATATGAATCAATTCAAATAGAAATTTAACTGCTAGCTATTAGATTTTGTGGTAATCATTCAATTTCCGATTGCTACAATGATTCAACAAAGAATGAAGAATATATAATTGTCTTCTTGGAGTTGGAAATGGTGCCTAGGCGATCTAGAAGTGTCTTAGGCCATGTTTGCTAGTAGCTGCTTGACGGGAGTCGCAACTCATTTGGTCAGCTATACATGACTCTTTAGTAGTAGGTTAATGATATAGAAAGTCGTTTATTTAGTAACCTTTGAGTGGAATTTTATGCTGAAAGTCAAGTTTTCTCAAACATGCCCTTTTCAGTTAAAAAGCACGTTCGTTCCATCTATGAAAAAACTTTCCAAATAAAAACATTCCCGATATATATAGACATATTATTCCACACATACAACTTCATTCATACATGACTTGATGAAAAACCAACCAAACAACCTCTTACTGTATCTATTTGTTAACTCCGATTATGAACCGTGAAGAAGATGGATTGAACATGATGAAGGTGGTTTCATGTGTGGAGGATGATCATGGAGTCTGTGTTTGTGCCCTAAAACTACAAATTCAAATTCAAATTCAAATCACAAACTCGTGTTTCGAACTCACTTTCAAATCTTGAATTACCATATCCTAAGTACTGCCTTGAGGGAAATAGAAGTGCGAAATGGCTTCAATACTTCCTTCTTGATCCAACTTCTTAAAGGTATGAAGAAAACTTGTGAACCAGAATCTTAAACAAGATGATATAAGAAGTGAAGTTTGGCATAATTAGGATGGTCAAATAGCTGCTTACAGTTGTGTTTTCTATGTTATACAGAAACAATAATTCTGTCTAGTTAAGGTCTGACTACATCTTACCCGCTAGACCCTACTTTCAAGTAGGATAAACAACATTTTTGTCTCTTGTGACAGAGTCTGCCTACATCTTACCCCCTAATCCCTACTTTTAAGTGGGATAAACAATGTTTTTGTCTTTTGTGACAGAGTTAAGGTCTTCGTACATCTTACCCCAGAGCCTACTTTCGAGTGGGATAAACAACATTTATGTTTCTTGTGACAGAGGTAAGGTTTGCATCCATCTTAACTCAAACTATACTTTCGAGTGGGATAAACTACATTTATGTCTCTTGTGGCAGAAGTAAGGTCCTTGTACATCTTAGGGGTCGTTTACTAAACACTTACTGGTAAGTGCTTATCGGATAAATTTCCTTATCGGATGAACATGAGAAGGGCCAAGAATCTTACCGGGTAAGAGCTATTAGAAGAATGGAGAGCTTTACCCGGTAAGTGAGGATGACGACTCTTACCCAGTAAATTATTGCATTCGATATGTTTTGATGTACTAAAATCTTACGTATCAAAATAAATTATAGTATTGATTTCTATTAATAAGCGCTTACCGGGTAAGCATTTAGGTAAACAACCCCTTAGTCTTACCCATCTAGACCCTACTTTCGAGTGGGATAAACTGTTTTTGTTTGATTTACAATGGTTAAGTGGCTGCTTACAGATGTGTTCTCTAATTGTTTACTTGCCTTTTTCACTAGCTGGGATTCTTCTTGGAAACAACATTTTCATCTCTATGACAGAGGCCCCTAGACCCCACTTTCATGTGGGATATACTAAGTTTATTTAGATTGGTTTGGTTTACAAATGGTCGAGTAGTTGAGGGCGGCGAAGTAATTGTCATTGGCTTCTAGGCCCCCCCCCCCCCCAAAACCCGGAGCCCACCTCCGGATGGATATACCGGGTTCGCTCGATTTGGTTTACTCTCCTGCATTTGTGTTACTTATTCGACTCTTTGATCATATCAGGAGTTAAAGGAAAGAATTGAGCAAGTAAAGGAGAAAAGTTGGAAAGATGGAAACTTTACATCGGAAAGCGAATTCAGTGACGAGATGATGGCGATACGAAAAGACTTCGTAACCATCCATGGGGAGATGGTGCTTCTGAAAAACTATAGCTCCTTAAATTTTGCAGGTACAACTGCTTTTCTCTATTTCACGTGCTTTTAACTAGCTGGGGGTCGATATGGAAACAACCGCTCTACTCTGTAGGGTAGAGTTCAGGTCTGTCTACATACATCTTACCCCTCCAAACCCTAGCTCCTGGTGGGATATACTCGGCTCTTTTAGTTTGGTTTGGTTTCGTCTGTATAAGATCATCTTAGGTGTCGTTTGCTTTTACCCGATAGGCATTATAAAGATATTGAAGAAGTATGACAAAAGGACAGGGGGATTATTGCGCGTACATTTTACACAACTTACCCTTCGTCAACCTTTCTTCACGATAGAACCTCTTACCCTGTTGGTCCATGAGTGTGAGGAAAATCTCGAACTCCTTTTCCCTTTAGAAGCGGAAGTAGTCGAATCGAGTAGCAAACAGCCCGATGCAATAAACATTAACAGATCGTCGTCGTCGTCGTCGTCTGAGGTAGGAACTTCAGATGTGTATAGGAGGACAATTGATGCAATGAGAACAATAAAGGGTCTTAAAAAGGAAAGCTCCACCTTCAATCCGTTGTCGTTTGCATCTATTTTCGGCAACCAAGATATCGACACGGGTGCTATAACAACTCAACACTCGCCTTCCGACTCTACAATTTCTTACCATGATAAAAAACGAACCGTATGACATATCCTACCTCCAGACCTTGTCTATCCTGATTACATTCTACCGTGGTAAGATTCGTCGTCGACACGGGTGCTATAACAACACTCGCCTTCCGACTCTACAATTTCTTACCATGATAAAAAACGAACCGTATGACATATCCTACCTCCAGACCTTGTCTACACTGATTACATTCTACCGTGGTAAGATTCGTCGTCCTCACTTACCGGGTAAGACTCTTGGTCCTTGTCTCGCTCTTACCGCGTAAGATTTTTGATTCTTATTATATTCATCCGGTAAAGTAATGTGACTTAGTAACCGCTTACCCAAGTAAACCTTTGGTAAACGACCCCTAAGTGTCTACATTACTATTTTAGTTCATATCCCAAATAAATATCCATTTTTAAACGTAAGTGTCTACTGTTAAATTCTACCATCAATTATAAGAGGGAAAAATATTCTCTCTCTCTATTATTAATCGTAAAATTATCACTTGTTAATTAAAAAGTGTAATAATTAAACGTTCCTGAAAGTGTATGCTTTTCTTTTTTTTTTCTTTTTTTTATCGTGGACACTTATTTTAGAACCGAAGGAGTACTCAAGATTCGGCAAAAAGGGTATAAAAATGGCGTTTTTCACAACGCGGTTTTTATTTGCGAATATGAGTGGCTATTTCGTGACAATTATGAAAAAAATAGGTGGTTATTTTATGCAAGATTGGATCCGAAATGGGCCATTTTAGTGAATATCCCTTAAAGAAATCCATATACTTTATTCACATTTGTTAATCGTGGGTGTCCAGCCATATTATGCAGTGGCCTTGCAGGACTTGAACCGGTGACCTCTAAAAGAAACCCCAAAGCCACAAGCGTTATTGCTGGTTGAGCTAACCCTATAAGGTTTATCATTTCTTATTTATGCTTATTGTGAAACGGAACGAATTGAATAGTTTACCAAGGAATGAAAGGAAAACGTCTCAGCAGACACATAAACTTGAAACAATTATAGCTTTTAAACCCGATAATTATGTGGCCTACGTTGGATCGATGGTCTCGTGGCGCACAACCTGCATTGAACCATCGTCATATCCATAACCGATCGTTCATTCATTTGGTGCTCTAATTTCAATTTCGTTTTAATTTTCAAGATTTTAATCGTTTTCTTAATTTTGATTTTGATTTAAATTGCTTGAAAATCGGTATATACGTCAATAGTGCGTTATAAGAGAAAATGAATTTAAATATTTTGAGCGTAATTTGGAATTCATTCTTTGATAAAAATTACAGTACTAAAAATTTATTTAAAATATATTATTTCGTTCTTAAATTGTACAATTATTTTTTATCATTTATCAAAATGTATCTGACGTTGTTACGTTGAAATTAAAATTAGGGCAGATTGCGTGAAAAAGCAATGTACTTTAACTTGATTCCTATTTTAGGTAACGTTCTTTTAAAACTTCCATTTTGGTACTTAAGATATAAAGTTTTAAACATTTAAGTATCCGAGTAACCGGTTGAAGTATTAACAGGTTAAACATGTTGAAGCATTAACCGGTTATATTAAGATATCCATGTCAGCAAATAATACTTAGTTGAATACCGCATTACTCGTCACATTAGCAAGGTAACCAGTTAGTGATTCAACTGGTTACTCGAGTACTTAAATGTTTAAAACTTCACATCTTTGGTACCAAAATAGAAGTATTGAAAGTACGTTATCTAAAATATGAATCAAGTTAAAGTACATTACTTTTTTCATACAATTTGACCTTAAAATAAATATAATTGTAAAATGAATAAGGAAAAATCACCTAAACGACTAGCATACGTACATAGCAATTAACAAAATGTCCACCATTATTCTCATGATTTTCTTACATTGGTTCCATACGTTATAAAAGTAAAGATCCATCCATGCATTTAGCCAATTCAGAAAGTTTTTTTTAGCTAAATGCCGACAAAGTGGGATCCATATCTGAAAAGGGTGCACTTGTTTTGTTTCGGTAATTCGCCAAAAACCCCCGTTTTGGAGAAATGCATGTTAAGTCCCTTTGTTAATTACGTATACTGGTCTATGGGCTTGTTTGTTAGCATCTTAATGAGCTTGATAAGACTCACAACTTATTCGGTCAATTATACATGACTATTTGGTAGTGGCTTGATGATATATAAAGTGTCTTATTCAGTAAGTTTTTATGAAGGAGTTTTATGCATATAACTAAGTTCTTTTCCAATCATGTTCCTACCAATTGAAAAACATGTCCATTGTGAAAAAAAAACCCTATCAAACTGTCTGTGTATATTAATCTGTCTGTATAGATTGAGAAGGTTTTTGTTTAGAATTTTTTTTTTCATAAATGAAAGAAACATGTTTTTTAATTAAGAAAAGAACATTTGAAAAACAATTGACTTTTTGTATAAAGTTCTCTTAAAAGCTTACTGAGTAAGCTATTATTCGTTTCATCAAGCCACTATCAAACATTCGTATATAGATAACCGGATATACTTTAAGCCCTATCAAGACCGTCTCTTAGCATGTTAAATGTGAGATTTTGAACAGGACCTCCAACCCAAATTTACATGTGTTTAAGATCTTTTTATCGGTCTGTGTAAAACTATAGCCGAAATTATTTAGCTTCAAACTATTAATTATTTGGTTTTAAGTTCAAATCATTAATGGTTTAGGTTTAGTTTCATATTATTAATCGTTTTAGGTTTAACCTATTTTTATTCTTTAACATATATTCTCTGTGATCTTATTTATGTAATATAATAAAAAAAATTGGATATAACAGAGCCTCCAAAAAAATCCGAAGATAAAGAAACCCTCTTTGATTTTCCCAATGGATAATCTGAATTTTTTTTTAAATTTTATTGTACACTGTATAATTCACAAAATACTGAAATACATACAAGAACAAACGAAACTGTGAAAAGATGGCAAGAGTTGTGACGGTGGCGCAGGACGGTGGCGGTGACTACCGCACGGTGCAGGAAGCAATCGACGACATACCACTCGGCAACACTTGCCGGACGGTGATTCGTGTCTCGCCGGGGATTTACCGACAACCTTTGTACATCGCCAAGACTAAAAACCTCATCACCATCGCCGGAATCGGAATCAGCCCCGAGGTCACCGTTCTAACTTGGAACAACACCGCCACAAAAATCGATCACCACCAGGTCAAATCTCCATCCTTAAACCCTAACCCTACTTATCATGTATCTACACAACAATCAATCTAGGGTTTCGTTCTAAAATTTCACTTTCACCAATTCGTTCTCTCTAATGGATTTACCAAATTTACGTAATCGTTATCTACGTAATCACAGGCGTCGCGATTGATTGGAACTGGAACCTTTGGATGTGGAACCGCCATTGTTGAAGGGGAGGATTTCATAAGTGAAAATATCACATTTGAGAATTCTGCTCCTGAGGTGTTGTTTCTTCTCCAATAATTTTCATGATCTCTGTTAATAGTGTTCTAACTTTTCCGATTAGGGTTCCGGCCAGGCAGTGGCCATCAGAGTAACCGCCGATCGTTGTGCTTTCTACAATTGCAGATTTCTCGGCTGGCAGGTGAAAACTTTTATTCTGAGGCAGACCTAAGCATTTAATTACAAATTGGAAATTTCGATTGAGAACCTGTTTTTTTGCTGAGAACCCATGAATCACCCACGTCATGCCACGTGTCCCTATAACACATTCATGATGAATACGAACGTGTATTATTTGCTTACGTGCTTAGCGACATGAATTTTATTAATCTAAAATCAGTCTTCAAACGGGTACTTAAACGTTTAAAACTTTACATCTTAGGCATCAAATGGAAGTTTTGAAAATATGTTGCTCAAAATAGGAATCAAGTCAAAGTATTTTACTTTTTCATGCACTTTGCCTTTTTTTTGTGAAATTTTCGGTTTCCGCTCACCATTTTTGCGAAGTGAGTCTACAAAGTCGAGGGTTTTGCTCACTTTTTCTTTTTTGCGAAACAGGACCACAAAATCGGAAAAACGTACGACTCGACTTAAGGTAGAAACCAACTTGATTGGTTTGCATTCAACTATCGTCGTTGTCGGTCAATTCCAATTTTGGTTATTTTCGTGATTATAGCTTTTAACATGTTAAACTAGAAACCAACCCGAATTACGACAATAAAGTAATTACGACAAGAAAAGTAACATCTATGATCAAGTACGACTAAAACCAGACACACCCATTATGTCGCACTCAGAAGTAGGGTCTGAGGAGGATGAGATGTATGCAAACCTGTCATCTACCTCAAAGAGCAGTGTTCATACGAACGTTTTAACTCTTTTGCAGGATACTCTTTATTTACACTACGGGAAACAATATTTGAAAGATTGTTATATCGAGGGAAGCATAGACTTCATTTTCGGGAATAGCACGGCTTTGCTGGAACATTGTCACATCCACTGCAAATCGGCCGGTTACATAACGGCCCAAAGCCGAAAATCTTCTCAAGAGACAACCGGTTATGTGTTCTTAAGGTTTGCATTCAATATCTTTTGAATAAACTAAACCGAATGTACGTGGTATATCTTACCTGGAGGTAGAGTGGTCTGAGGAGGGTATGATGCATACAGACTATACTTCTCTTTGTAGGGGTAGAAAAGTTGCTTCCATGAAACTACCGTCTTGAATTCACGTTTCTGTTTTAGTTTGTCTTAACCGCACCATATATTGTCCGCTTTGCCCACACCTTGACTTTGACTTCATGGTTTAGAACATAGAGGAGGTATTCAGTCCTTTATAAGGCAACCTTAGTTCCCCCATACGAAGTGGGATGTTACAACTGAGTTGCACGTAGGAAGATGAGACAAGATTGGTAAATTACTAAACTACATATGTCAAATTAAAACATTATGATCTTCTGAAATTCTGTGGCCTGTCTACCTCTCTCTCCCCGGTCCAGTCCTGTCCATGTACCAAACGCACCCTAAGGGGCCGTTTACCAAATGCTTATCCGGGTAAGCACTTACCAAGTCAAATTACCTCACCGGATGAATATGGTATGGATCAAGAATCTTACTCGGTAAGAGCGAGACAGGACCAAGAGTCTTACCCGGTAAGTGAGAGCGACGACTCTTACCACGGTAAGCACTTACCGTGTAAATTATTACATGCGATGTCATTTTGGTGGACTAAAATCTTAACCGGTAAGTAAATAGTAGTGTTAAATTTTACCAGTAAGCACTTACCGAGTCAATATTTGGTAAACGGCCCCTAAGTGTCTACTTTCTATTATGTTTCTCCGAGTGTAAGAATTAAATATTTCTAAAAGTGTGCTTTTTTTGGGACATTTATTTTCGGGTTGAGGGATAACGACCATCGGTGTGAATGCAGATGCGTCATAACCGGCAATGGAGGGGCATCGTATGCTTATCTTGGGCGGCCATGGGGACCTTTCGGGAGGGTGGTTTTCGCCTACACGTATATGGATTCATGTATTAAACACCACGGTTGGAATAATTGGGGAAAAACTGAAAATGAAAGAAACGCTTGCTTTTACGAGTACAGGTACGCATAAAAACCCGTATACCTCAAGGCCACTAGGGATTATTCCTGCCTGTTATCTTATATCTTATCTTCGGGTGCATCTGGTTGTTGGTACATTAAACAAGACAATACAGAACAAAGTGGAAGAGACCTATATTTTACCGGTATAACCTCAAAATAAAACTTAATTCTCTTCTAAAACATCAAATATGTCTCCCTCTTTACATTTTATTCTTTTTTAAATTTTATTTATCGTACTTTATGCATTTTAAACTTTTATTTTACTGTCTTCAAAATATTACTTTTATGCGGATTTTATATTTTGGTTAATTTATGTAATTTATTAAATATTAATAATAATCAAATAATATAGAAAATGTATAAAATAAAAATTGGAAACTCATAGGCTTTGTATTTTCTACTTTGGTGTCATTTAAACAGTTTTGACGAAAAGTTTCTAATGATATATTTTGTTATAAAAAATATTTATTTTATTATAATTTAATAAATTACACAACTTAATCAATATATATATATATATATATATATATATATATATATATATAAGATATAAACAACTCATTAGGGGTAAATTCCGTCATGTCCAATTCTGTCTTCCCAAACATTGAACAACTATTTTGTTCCCTCATATTCCGTCCTATCCCCATCTGGATACAAAATGCACCTTTCAGCGCGTTACAGGATTAGTTGAAGGTATAAACAAGCCTGTCTGGACACCCACGGTTACCAAAGAAAGGTTATATCTTCAATCATCAAAACCACGTTAGTTTCTTTGACGGTCGTGTTTGATGAACAATGCAGATGTTTCGGGCCGGGAAGTTGTCAAGAAAGACGGGTAACATGGGCAAGAGAGCTCATGGAGGAAGAAGCCGAACAGTTCTTGGTGCATTCGTTTATCGACCCAAACCCAGAGCGGCCATGGTTGGCTCAAAGAATGGCACTTCGGATACCCTTTTCGGCTTAGAATATATGGCAAACCGGTTTTGTAACAATAATTACCATGTTATGTTAAAAGTTTAAATTTTATCTCGATAACTTAAGTGTTGAATGAAAATGACTATTTTACTTGATATTTTGTTACATGATTTGGTATCGGTTATTTGGTCCCTTTTTTCCGGCAAATAGTTAATGTCATTACCATATCAGCAAATAATACAGAGTTATATGCTATGTCAGTAGTAAATGATACTGAGAGAATCCCTAATGGGAGGTTTTTATAAGAAAAAATATAGTAACTTGTAAGAAATACCATTGGAAAGAGTTCTTATAAAGTTGTTTCTCTCTCATGGTAATAATCTTTTAGAAGTTCTCCAAATTTGGAGAATTTACACTCTTTAATGTTTTCCCCATTTTGTAGAATCTGTTGGAGATAATCTTATGAGTCACCCCTGAAATTTAAGTGATTTGGGGCCCTAGGAATATAAAAAATCCAAGGAGGAATAAAAAGTACCAGAAAATCTCAGGTTCAAATCCAAGGAGAAATAAAAAGTACCAGGAGATCTCAGGTTCAAATCCAAGAAAGAATAAAAATCCTCTTGTGGCCACAGAGGTTCAAATGTGGTGACTCTGGGTATCTGAGTAGCAAACTATACTATTAGTTACTTTATATAACTTCCTTTCAAATGAATTTGTTTGAGCATATATAAAATTAACATCAGGTGAGTTAATTTATATTTAAACTAAAAAAAAAATAAGAAATTGAAATATAGTTAACCAAACCATCGACCAATACTATCATTGTAGCATGATTGCAAGAATCAGCGGTAACAATATACGAGGATAACAACCGTTAAGCAAGGTAGTGGAGGATTTCATCAAAACGGACTAGGTAATTACAGAAACTGTCGAAAATGTGAGGGAAACTAAAGGATATAAGAGTAAAAAAGACAAAAAAACATTTAAGTATACAGGTAACCAGTTGAAAACTAATTTTAGATTAAAAAAAATCATGTCACTAACCACGTCAGCAAATAATATTGAGTCAGATACCACATCATTCGCCACTCAGCATGATAACCGGTTAATGCTTTCAACCAGTTACCCAGGTACTTACATGCTTTCAACCAGTTACCCAGGTACTTACATGTTTAAAACTTTACATCTTAGGTACCAAAATATAAATTTTGAAAGTATGTTACCCAWAATAGGAATCAAGTTAAAATACGTTACTTTTTCATGCAATTTATCACTACAATTGTAGAGTTCTATATCAGTTCTTAAATTGTTGATGTGACAATAATATTACTAAAAAAATGTAAAAATTAGGTTTTTATGTCATATCAGAGCAACAAATAATACTGAGTTGTACGTCATGTCAACGTCACTATAAATTTCAATTAAAAAATATATAATATTAAATGGAGGTGCGGGGGATCGAACCCCGTGCCTCTCGCATGCAAAGCGAGCGCTCTACCATTTGAGCTACACCCCCGTTGTGTAAGCCATTACAAAATGTCATATAAGAATTCCTTACATTTTTATTTATAAAATGATTGTGTAAAATATTATATGTATTTTTAAATCAAATAAATACAATTTATTGCCTAATAAACCGTTTTTCCTTAGAAAAAAAAAATGTATAATTCGTATAATTATATGTTTTTCTATATTAAAAATTTGATGGTTAGCATTCGCGAACCTGTAATTGTTTAAAATAGATCAACAGCCTTTTAAAGTCGTTCAATGTGTTTTTAGTCGAATTTCATCGTTTCGAGAGAATTTTTTTTAAAGGTTTTTGGTTGATTTTTATTGGACTTTTTCATTTCTTTGGTTAATTTCAAAAGACTATTTTCGGGTTTTTTGGTTGATATTCCTTATCTATACTATATTATAAAGCATTTGACAAAAACTATTAAAAACCAATTTTTATGCATAAAGTACTGTATATTGATGTATATTACTTAAAATTCAAGATTACAAGTAAATTATGCATAAATACATCTTATTAAAGCTTCATGTTTGAATTCGTGTAACTAATTGCGGATAAACATAACCAAATAGAAGATAAACATCTCATTTTAAAATATAAAAAATCTAAAATACAATTAGGATCATTATCGAGTTATAACAAAATAATTAATTATTATCTTTATAAGAAAACTATATTATTAAACAAAATATAAATTACTTCGTTATTAAACCTAAATTAAATTATAATAAAAAGATTGAATTAAACACAAAAAATAAGAATTTTAAATAGTTAATTTGATACTAATATCGATATATTTTTGTCAAATTTTTATGATATCTTCAAATTTATATCGTATTCCAAAATGATAATATCATCGTTTTTTTCAAAATTACATAAAACCATACTATAACATCAACTGAGATAAATAATAAAATGAAGATGTATCTCGCTGCATTGCGCGATTATATTTCTAGTATTTTAACGGGTGCACCTTTAATATCTCCAAAAACATGTTAATTATGTAGAATTTCAGAGCAAAATTTTAAAATCTCAAAAAATTATTCTAACTTTAACAGTTTTTTCTATTTTGAATATTACAACATTATTATATTACTAAAACATTTATTACATATTATTTCTCTTTTCTAAACATTTAATTTCAAAAGTTAAATTACTGGTAAAATATAATAAAAAAAATATTTCCCGTTCATCTCAAAGTAATCACTTTTACAGAGTTATAAATAATCCCATAAATCTGCCCTCCTACTCTTTCTGTTTTGGAGAAAGGTTTTCATCTGCTACAACAAAAAACCTGTACAAGATCTCAAAGTTTTTTTTTTACGTAGATTTTTTCTTCAAGATTTAGTTCTTTGTTATTGATGTTGTGTTTCTTTTCATTTATCATTAACTAATTACATATTTCTTCGAAGTTGGTGAATCCTTTTGGTAACCATGGATATTGAGTCGGCTTATACACACATACCCTCGAATGACGATGAATTAGAGTCATCGCAGGTAGACCTCCTTAAGTTTAGAGTGGAGTTCTTCACGACTTCTAGAAATCTGTAATAACTCTGGATTGTAATCGAGATATGCTAGGGATACTAATCATGTTTGACGATCATAATCTAGCTTATTTTTTAGGGCTTATAAAAAAGCTCCCATTTGGTAGACCAACGAAGTTAGCTTTTTGAAAAGTTAGTTCAAAAAAGTGTTATAAAGGAAGTCCGGTTTAATCGGCCATAAACTATAGCTTATAAGCTAGCCTTTTGAAAAGCTATTTCAATAAGCTTCAGAATTTTTTCCAATTAATTTTCCAAAATGTCCTTTTATCATACATGACTAGTTTATTAAATAGCTTTTCACCACATATGTTTATCTAACATCAACAGTTTTTCAACCAATAACCACTTGTTTTTATCTGAAATGACTAGCTTTTCAACCAATAACCACATGTTTTTTGACCAACCACATGTGTTTATCTAACATGAACAGTTTTTCAACCAATAACCACTTGTTTTTATCTGACATAACTAGCTTTTCAACCAATAACCACATGTGTTTATCTAACATGAATAGTTTTTCAACTAATAACCACCTGTTTTTATCTAACATGACTAGTTTTTCAGCCAACTTTTGTACACTCCCTTCGTTTGTTCTTGAAGGCACCACTAGCTTTTCAACCAATAACCACATGTTCTTATCTGACATGACCAGTTTTTTCGGCCAACAACCACCGCTTCAACCAACAACCAATCAACAACCACTTGTTCTTTTTTATCAAACATGACTAGTTATCAATCAACAACTCACTTATCAACTAATTTGTCAAACAAAACCTAAGGGGGTGTTTGGGATTGCTTATAAAAACAACTTATTGACTTATTTCGGTGTCACACTAATAATAAACATTTTTGAGTGTTTGGATAAACAACTTATACCGGTGTCAAACCAGTAATAAGGAGTTTTTTGAAGAAGTTAAACCCTTCTAACTTAGAATAAGTTGATAAATGCTTTTATAGAAAAGCATAAGGAGGCGTTTGGTTCGTAGAATGGAATTCGATGGAATTGTAATTCATCAAATGAATTTGACTTTGAAGGAATGGAATGGAATGGAATTTAACCATGTCTTGTGATTGCGTTTGGTTGCATGGAATTGGAATGAATTTGGATTAGGGAAGGAATTTGTCGGATAGGAATTGAAATCCGAAGGTATTGCCGTGGAATGTAAAATCCACGAGTGAAGGAATTTATTGGAATTGAAAGAATTCCATCAGTTTTATTCCATGAACCAAACATTGTATTTGGAATTTGGTCAAAGGATTTGGCCATTCCAATTCCTTTCAATTCCATCCAAATCCATGAACCAAACAACCCCTATGTTGTTTCAAATAAGCAATCCCAAACACCCCTAAGTTGTTTCCAACAAATCATCAACAAAAGTTTCACTCCATAGAAACAAATATTTCTTCATGCATCTCTAAACCCCAAAAGGAGATTAACATTTAGAAGTGTGTGTGTGTGTGTGTGTGTTTTAGGGAGAAACATAAACCCTTTTTGGACAGAGTAAATAAAAGTACATTAAATCCACAACAAATGAACACTTAAAGAGTAAAAGCAGAGTTGATAAAAGGGGAGTATGAAACAGACCAACCTCAACTTTCAGCTATTATTTACTTCAACTTGAAGTACAAGATCAAGATGATGGCAAGAATAAGTACCACAACCATCGACCCGATAATCCATTTGTTTCGACCCATCCTTCTCGAGATATTAGTCATAATCTTTTTACTCTTGCTTATGTTGTCATCAACTCCATGAAGCTGAAAGATGCAAATCAAGATGATAACCGACTTTTAAAAGAACAATGGCATAACTCACTACAACAAAATCGGCTTTATACGACCTTACCTTAAATATGTCTGAATATGCTGATAGACTGCTATATATGAATTCAGTTTGAAGGATCAAACAATTGTGTGTCGTCCTAAATAGATGTGTTACAATAAGGTGATAGCTTTTTAGGACTTCTTTAAATAGTGTCCTACTAAATTTGGACATCTTCGAGAAGTGTCCTATGAGGCTATGAACACATCTTTTTATAGAACACTTGTTTTTATAAATCATTTGTCCAAATACCGTCATACAAACATAGGATGTTTATTTCAAAAATCGGACTAGGGTAGCAGACCAGTGATGGGGATCCGTAGTTAGAGTAGACTGGAGGTAGGGAACCAGAGAGGAAGAGGGTAGTAGTTTAAACTAGGGGTGTGTAGTTTCCTTAAGCTCGTTATGTTTTTCTTGTACCTGCCTCTATTTGACTTTTTGTACGTTTCTGCTTTCTTAACAAACTTTTCAAATCTTTACATTCTTAACTTTCCCTCTTTGTCGCTGATAGAAAATGGCAAAATCAAGTTAACCGGAACAGAGGAAATTCAATGGAGAAGATGATGTAATTTTCATTAAGAAGATAAAAGCAATCAAATGATTGTCCAGGGAAGATCCCTCTCTCAAAGCTATGAGCTAAGAGTCAATACATTGGAAAAGAAATAACATAACATGCAAAAGAAAACGTCACTCCCTTCTATTTATTATTCTCTCTCCTCTAACTAACTCCTAGCCACACTCTGGAATTACCTCTATGCCCCTTCTAGAATAAACATACATTATCCTAGGCTTAGTGACTTTTGGTAATAATAAATCAGCATTCGTATCAGTCGCACTTTTCACAAGATGCGCCGGGGGAGGGGGGTCACGGAAGCAGCGTCTTCACGCTTGGGTAGAGGTTAAGTCTACATATATCATACCTCTCCAAACCCTACCTTAGGTGGGATATACCGTGTTCGTTTGGTTTCCTTTATTGCAAAAGTTACTAAAAGAACTGGTAGGACGCCCCAAAAGGCCAAAACGTCTTAGCAGCTTATTGTAACATTTTTATATATGATGTACAATTGTTTGGTCCTCTAAACTCAAGTCCTATAAAACACTTATATATAGGAAGCATAATTGTTTGGTCCTATAAATTTGAGTTCTATAAAGTAGTCTATTAGAACATTTAGACATACTTGGTGTCCTATAAAGCCGATTAATTTTGTTGCAGTGATTATGAGTAAATATAATGTGAATATTGAGCATTGGTAAAGTCATACCGTTCCATGGGCATGCAAGAGAGACTGTCGCTGTTGGTGAAGATCTTGAAGAAGTGAAACCCCAAGTTCTTCGGTCTCCAGCATGGTCCTTCTACTGTCCCTAACTCTGTCACTAGACTTGTTCAATCTTTCAGTTGACATTAACAATCTTCCTCTTTGATCTGACGAAACCTGTCATATTCACCATTTATTGGTGATATATAAAAAAGAATACAATCTCAATATCTAATAGTTCCAAAGCTTTGACATTTAAAAGATCAAAATGCAACAAACTTTGGTTTAGTTCCCTATTTAGTGTAACGAAGAATTCTTTGCCTCAATTGATGTAACAAGTTTTGAAATTTTCTGTTTTCTACCCGTTTCTTGTAACATTTGCAACGTGGATACCAATTTACCAAAGGGCTATGGCAAAGTGGACAATAAACTTGACATTGCCATCGTCAAATGTTACAGAATCATGCAGTTAGGTGTCAAAATGGGTCAAAAAATTGGAAATTTTGAAACTTTATTACATTAAATAAGAAATTTTGAAACTTTGTCTCATTGATTGAGAAAAAGTTCTTTGTTACAATCAATAAGATCAGTTATCATACCGCAGCTGCATCTGCCATTCCTGATTCCAATAATTCATCTCGGGCTGCCTGATTTAAGTTGGTTGATGCAATTCTTTTAGCTTCACTCTTCAAATTATTCAGATCAGATTTGTATTCTCTTAATTTGGCAAGGAGCACGGCCTTCACATTTGGTGGCAAGCTTCTTGCCTCAATGTCCATTTTCCGTATCTGGATTAACAAGCCAATATTGCATTAAACCACAAAATGTGCATGAGACAATATATAGCAACAATATCGGGCAAACGCAATACCAGAGATTCAGCTTCATCAATTCCAGCTTTTACTTCAGAAATTTTCTGCTTCTTTTGCTCTGAAAGGAATAACGGAAAGCATACTCACCATCAAAACCATAGAATGATAATGTCAAAAGGCAAAACCTTTAAGGAACAATAAAAAGATCCTTTTGGAGAAGAATTCGAAAGGCTGAATCACATGTGATTTTAAACTAGCATCACATACAAAATCACATGTGATTCAGCCTTTGGAATTTTTCTCCAGAAGGATCTTTTTATTGTTCCTTACAGGATTTTACACTAGCATCACATACAAAATCACATATGATTTAAGCAATCTTGCCCGACGACCTGAAGACGCAACCACAAGTGGCCAGGACACTTTTTTTTACCATTAATGTAAAAATCACATGTGATTTTGCACGTGGTTTGCCCGTTTTCGTGTTCTTTTAAATAAGTATCATTCTCACTTGATCCTGCCCCCCCCCCTCTCTCTCTCTCTCTCTCTCTCTATATATATATATATATATATATATATATATATATTGGTTATGTTTGATAAATGAAGCCAAAAAAAATCTTAATGGATCTTAGAGGAAGGGCATCAATACAATCCCAACTAACTTAGAACATAGCTAGCTGGCAGGATAAATATCGCATAAATGTATTTATCTTGAGCAATTGTAAATCCATAGACCCTGGAATTTTGCAGAAACATGCTAGCATTTATGTCTTCACCTTCAAGCCCAAGAAGACAATAAATAGCACTTAAAAGGAACAATCAAGTAGGTTTCTTTAACGATTCGAGTTAAAAGTAAAGTGGATAATTCTAATTGGAGAATCAGATGACAAAGGTAATATAATGGAAGGTAAACGATAAAGATTCTAGACTTCTAGTATCTTTCTAAATGTTTCAGAATTTCCTTAATCCATGGCATCATCACATCAATAACTATGATAAGATACAAAGACAATATTAGGGTTTTGGCTTACCTCCATCGAGTAAACTAGCAGATGTACACTTCTTCGACAAACTCGCCGAAAGCTCGCAGTATTTGCGTTCATAACCTTCAAACGTTTCACTCATCTTGTAGTCAATAACTCTTCGATCAGAACTACAACAAAACCACAAAATTGATTGCACCGATTGAAAAGAGCAGACAAATTAAAATTGAAATCAAATATCAATTTATCTACGAACTTATAATTCGAGATACGCAAAGAAGACGGACCTGAGAATGATCGGAAGACGTCCGTTGGTCGGAAAATTGGGCAGACTCCGGCGGTGGATCCGATGTGGCAATCTAGTTGGATGATTACCCGATGGTTTTTGTAGTCTTTTTAATTGAAAAGGTAAAGGAAGGCAGGCATATGATATAACAACAGGACGGTGATAACTGACAACCGAAGTTATTGAATCAAGAGTAAACTACAAATTTGGTCCTTGTGGTTTATCGTAAATACATTTTTAGTCCCTTCAGTTTTCAAATTACAAGATGGTATTCGTGGCTTGCAAAAACTTCCGAATTTATGCTCTTTTTAACATTTATTAAAAATTTCCGTTAAATGAGCGCATTTTCATCTTTTTATCAATTCTTTTGTTTTCTTTTAACTGATCAAAATTGATTTTTAATGAATTTGGCCAATGTGGTTTTTGATTGGATAACAAAAAAAAAAATCTATATAAGGACAAATATACTAAAGGTGATTATTTGCAGGGTCAGGCTGGGTCTGACTTATTTTTTTTTTGTCCAACGGGCCTAATATTGTAAACTCAATCCCGTTTTTTGGGCTTGACAACTTGTCACTGTTTCTTAATAGTTTCATGGGATTCTCAACTTATTAACTTCAGCTACAAATAAGTGTTTAACAGAAACTTAATTATATAGAAAGTGACTTATTCAGTAATATTTATTGAAAACTTTATGCAAAAAGACAAGTTTTTTCCAAACTTGTCCATCATAATTAAAAAAACATGTTCATTGCATCTATGAAAAAACCTACCAAACAGATCTTCTCAATCTATACAGGCAAATTAATTCACACAAACAACTTTATCTAATACATAACTTGATGAAAAATCAACCAAACAACCCCTAACTGTCCTAATAGATTGTTTTATAAAACAAAACAATAAAACGTCATATCTAAAATATTGTATTAGTGTATAAAACGCTTTTGAACATGATATAAAGTTTGCATCAAATATTTAAAGGGCAAATTACATGAAAGATAACAACGTACTTTAACTTGATTACTATTTTAGGTAACTTACATTTAGAATTTCTAATTTGGTACCTAAGATATAAAGTTTTAAACATTTAAGTATCTGGATAACCGGTTGAAGCATTAACCGATTACCATGCTGATGTGACGAATGATATTGTATCCAACTCAGTATTATTTGCTGATATGGATATCTTAATCTAACCGGTTAATGTTTTAACTGGTTTTTTATGCTTTTGAACATGATACAAACAATCAAAATAGAAACAAATAAAAATACATTGTAAACTAATAGAGAGAACTTTGGTTACCAAAAAATGGGTATGCCAAATGCCAATACAACTTGTGTGTGAGTGACTCTATATATCCCTTTGATGGGCCAAAAGGGTCAACAAATCTCAAAGTCAAACAAAAGTCAAAATCAAGAAACAATGGTTCATCTGAAGACCAACAATTATCCAATCTACTAAAAGTATACAGATTTAAAACTCATTCTGCCCATCAAAATTTTAATCAAACCCACAAACTCAACCAATTCTGGATCAGACCCACCTCATGGAACCAATAGGTTAACCCCAGGAACTGGACTCGCACCCATGGTCTCCGGTTCGTTATCCGGAAACACCTCCGACCGCAACGACGGTGCCACGTTTTCCAGGTGTAACCACGTCTCCTGCCAAAGCCCGTCGGAACCTGCGGTGTTGGTCGGTGAAAGAATTCCGGTCGATTTCATGACGAGCAGCGTGTTCTTGAGGAGCTCCGGGACTAGTTCGTGAATCTTTTCACTTCGTTTCCCTCGGAATTTGACCTTTTCGTATTGATCCATGCAAGTTAGAACCCCGAGCCATGTTTTTTGGAACGATATCAAGCGGGAAATGCTCGGCAAAGAATGTAGGAACGATTTTGACATGAGCTTTAGGGATAAAACAAGGGTTGTTTCCATGTTTCGGTACTCTTTGGCGGACTTTTCTCGTGCGATTTCTAACAAATCGTTGATTAAAGGAAAGATTACCGAGTCGAAGCATTGGACCCACATCTCATCATGAAGATTAATCCCGTCTAGACCCGTTAAGCATCGCTGCAGCATCAAGATCGCGTGGTTCCGGATCTCTTCTCGTGGGTCGATACATACTTTCCGTAAAGCTTGAACCAACCTGAGCCACATCTCTCCGATATCTTGATAGAGCCGTATAGCGGCTTCGGCTTCTTCCCCCATGGCTTCCCGAGTCTCACGAGACCACCGAACCAGGCAAACCGCAGAACCTGCCATCAAATCTAAAGATTTCTGCGACCGGGCCACGTCTCCGACCCGAGACTCGGCAAACTGGCGAGCAGCATTGACGCAGAGTACGAAGTTTGCCGGTAGCAAGTGGGCCCCATCGAGCATGATGAATTCCAAGGTCTCGAATCCAGGCTCGGAAGCTTCCGGATGCCGAGCCGTGATCGAGAGGAGAGACGTAATTGTACGCCAGCCCATGTGAGATTTGATCTGGCCGACGTTTGCTTTTACGAGCCGCATAACTTCTTGCGTGATGTGCTCACAGTACGCATCGGCCACCCGAGCATCGAGTTTCAAGATAAGTTGAAGGGATTTAAGAAGCTCGTCGGTTAGGTCTTCTTTATACGGAAGAAGACGTCGGCAAATTCGAATGAGCCCGAAAACCGCCTTCTCAACTAAAGTGCTCGGCATCACGGCCGATTGAACGATATTGGCTATGTACTCATAAACACCTTGCCATAAAAGCATAATCCGATCCCGGTTATTTAGCGCAACTGTAATAAGCAACTCGAGACAAAATATAGCAGCATCTTCATCTTCTATTGAACTATTATTTCCCTTTTGGGATCGACCCGCGGCTAATATCAAGGCTTGGGCAAGATTCGAAAGAGACTCGGATTGAAGAAACTTACTTTCCGTGAAGACACTATCAATATGGCAATCTTTAACAGTTTCCGTGGCCCGATTGCGAGCTTCAACCTGTTCTTCTGACGGTTGTGGAGCAGGCTTTTCCGTATCGTAATATAGGAACTCGCTGAATCGGCCCATTAGGCCAGATGATTTCCGAGCTGGAGCCAAAAGGGGTTTCGTGTATCCGGCTGGTGAGACCAAAGGCGATTTCCCCAAGTCTGGCTCGGAAACAGACTCCAAATCATCGGCTGCATCACTGGCCATCCGAGCAGGCAAAAGACCCAATTTGTGCAAGCTCAAAATACAATCGAGAATGTTTCTCCAACCCGAGCGAAGATAGTCACCGTATGTATTCGCTATCGTAAAAACCGCTACGGTTGCCTTTCGGGCTTTAGTATCGTCACCAAAAGCAAGAACGGATTCTTCGATCGACATCGGAAGCAAGAGTGTCGTAAATTTAGATAAAGAAACGAGCAACCCGTCTAGCACGTCGTCAAGATGATAACAACCCGCAATCTTAGCGACATCTAGGAATCCATCGATACATGTTTGCAACACGTCTTCTTGTTCTACAAGATCCAAGACCACCGAGAGAGCGGCAACAGTGGGACCCGACAATATAGCGAACATTTCGTTGTTGATACGTTCTCCGGTGCTACAGATGATAAACGGAGCGGTTTGTCGGGATTTGTGAATTAGACCGACCCAGTTATCATGGGTCATGACCGGAAAACCGACACCGAGTTCCGGGGTCATTCGGATCTCGTTCTCGCAAATCGAGTGGTAAAGCTCGGATAAATACTCCCGCGGAAGATCATTGCCACCATTTATCCGTCGGTTGTTGCGGATAAAATCTTCTTCTGTCATCTTCTTTTTCACCTGTGCATTGTGTTGATCGGTATTAAGCATTATCAGAGAATACGATAACAGCAATGCGGCATCTTTATTGGCCAAAATATGAGGCGATTGCTCATAATATCGCTCAGCAAACGCCTCCACAACTCGCTGTATCTTCTGCGATTCACCCGGCAATCTAAATGTTTCCAAGAAAACTCGCAATGCGATATCCAGATTCATGTCTTGAAAATCAAAAGTTCTCGCGAATTCTTGAAGCACATCAACACAAAATTGATCGTGATTTCCAAGATAATCTCCGATAAGATTCTTGTCTAACCCGATTGTGTACCGTAAAAAACACGCTACACTTACAGGATCGAGCGATTCGGGCAACAAATACATTCCTTGAAGAAATTGCAGACCTTTTTTTGGATCCTGGTTGAAATGATCAGCCCCGATCATCAATTTCTTCTTAATATGCTTCATTTTACGGATAAACGGTACCCAAAAATCAGAATTCTCGTAGTTTTCACATTTCACCTTCCAGAATGACTCATGATCTTCGATAGTTGATGCATCCGGTTCTAGAAACGGCACTTCATCGCCAATCTTTTCAGCCATACCATTAATCATAGCGATCAATCCTTCAAGAGCAAGAACGTGGATAGCAGAAAGCGGGCTACTAACAGGAAATGCGCTTTTCGATAACAAATTCGCAAGATCTTCAAACACATTGCTGCAGGAAATGTCACAGTCGTAATTGGCGTACATTTCGTGAATGAAAGTTGGCTGCCTGCAAAGATCAACAAGAGTTTCCATGGCAACTTCCTGTTGTTGATACGAAGCTCCATGTTTATTGAGTGCAATCTTCATAAGAACCGAAGAGAAAAACGCTTCTAGCTGCAGCTTGAGCTTTACGCGCATAAGATGATAAAGATTCAAAACGATGCTACAAACGGTTGAAAGAATCAGTGGACTCGGAGATAATCCGAACTGGATTAAGCTATGGAATAGATCGTTTTGCACCAAAGCCAAAATTTCGGGATGATGGCTGAGAGCGGCCCCACCTAACTCGATGGCCGAGTTGATCAAGCCCAAAGCAAATAAAGGAACATCTTCATCGTATGCTAGCGAGTTGGATCGTGGGCCCACGCCAACGTGCTCAACTGCATTTAAAAGAGAACAAAGAAAGTTGAAGATTTCCACCATCGATGGAACGCCATAAGGGTCCGTCACAAGATGGTTTTTTGTCTCTCCAATATCCCCGGTGGTTTCATCCATCTTAACTTCGGGCATTTCGGTGGAAAGATCCAAAGCACCTCCAACAGATTCGATTTTCGAACCCGTGTAGCCATTGTCCTGTGGTTTACTAGTCGATGAATGATCCTTATCGGGAATGTCGACCTGCAGAAAGAGAAATATGTGAAATTCAAATGCACAGTTTAGCAATTCGTATGGATCAAAAAGTGAAGGCTTGTTTGTGAGCAGCTTAATGGGACTCACAGCTTATTCGGTCAGCTATACATGACTGTTTGGTAGTGACTTAATGATATAGAAAGTGTCTTATTCAGTAAGCTTCTAGGGGGAGTTTTGTGCAGAAAGGCAAAAGAAATCCAAAGCTGCCCCTCCCAATTAAAAAAACTCGCCTCTTTCCTCTATAAAACAACCCTCCTAAACAAAAACCTTCTCAATCTATACAGACAGATTAATCCACACAGACAGCTTTATCTATACAGGACCTAGGGGCTGTTTGGCTGGTTTTCCATGAAGTCTTGTATGAATTAAGCTGATTGGGAAGGTTTTTGGTTGGGAGGTTTTTTCATAGATGGAAGGAGCGTATTTTTTAATTGGGAGGGGCAGGTTTGGAAAAAACTTGGCTTTCTGCATAAAGCTCCCCTCTAGAAGCTTACTGAATAAGCCACTTTCTATATCATTAAGCCACTACCAAACAGTCATGTATAGCTGACAGAATAAGTTGTGAATCCCATTAAGCTCATTGAGCTGCTAACAAACATGGCCTTAATGGAAAAACAACCAAACGGCCCCTGTGTCACAATATAACCCATTATGTCTATTAGGTTTTCTCTTTAACTATGAACCATTGGATGACCAAACCAACCAGCCTACATTTTTTTCCATTTTGTGGTAACTAAAGCCATGTTTGGCAACCATAAGCTAGCTTATTTTGAGCTTATTGAAAAATCCCCATTTGTTAGTCATAAGCTGCTTATAACCTAGCTTACTGAAACACTACTTCCATGGACTTTTTTCCAATTACGCCCCTCATATTTTTCCAATTAATTTTTCTGTGATCTAGCTTATCAACTAGTTTTACCAAACACGGCTAGCTTAACCAAACATGACTAGTTTATTAGCCAACAACTAGCTTATCAGGTAATTTGCCAAACATAGCCTAACTAGTCAAACGCCATGGATGGAATCTTGATCGTCTCGTGTGGGGATCAAGTGGAAAACTTGACCCAAATGGCCTAGAGGCAAAAGAGATTTTGACCTAGCTAAATCATACTTCCTCCGTCCCAAAATAAATGTCCATAATGAAAAAGGCACACAATGTTAGAAATTTGTAATAATTACCCTTTCTAATTAACTAAATGACAATTTTACCCGTAGCAATAGAGGGACCAATGAATTTCTCCATCTCATTATCAAGGGTAGAATAGGAAAGTAGGCACTTGCTTTCAAAAGTAGACACTCACTCCCTCTGTCCCAAAACAAGTGTCCACAATGAAAAAGGCACACCCTTTTCAGGAACGTCTAACTATTATGTTTTTTTATCAACAAAATGACAATTTTACCTTAATAATAGAGAGAGAAAAACTTTCTGCATCTCATAATTAAGGGTAGAATGGGTAAGTATACATTTACTTTTTTAAGCGTACACTTATTTCGGGACAAACTAAAATAGAAAAATGTACACTTATTTTGGGACAAGAGGAGTATTTTGGAACCAACTAAAATAGAAATACACACTTATTTTGGGACGGAGGGGGGTATTTTGGAACCAACTAAAATAGAAATGTACGCACTTATTTTGGGACGGAGGAAGTAATTTCTAAATAAGCAGTTTGGATTCAAAAAGGGTTGATTGGCCATTATGCCGATATGCACAGTAAAAAATGGCATGCAATAAATTTCAAGTAACACACCAACAATTAAAAAGGAAAAGTTGATTTACCTCACCACCATCATCTGATCTGCCTTCCAAAGTGAATTCTTGTTCTTTATTATCACCAACATCAGGCAGATGCATAAAAACACATCTAATCAATTCATGCATCGTGTGTCGAGCTGTTCTCTGCAACAATTCGCCTTTCGAGCTTGCTTGATGAACTATCTGAAAACAAGTGTTCACTATATTGCAAACATGTTGGTTACTCAATTTAACCGACGCCTTATTTTTCATGCACGCTAAAAGAACTTGAAGTATCTTCATCAATACAACTTCCTCAGACGCTGGATCGGTCACTTCAAATCGACAACTTGTCACAGCATCAACTATAAGATGTAATGCATCAGCTACATTAACGGTTTCCAGATCAAGAACATCGAGGGATAAGAATTTGTAAATCGATGATAAAGCAACGCCCGTTATTGGTGCACTAGTTTCGTCTGACTGAATAACATCTAAAAAGGGCTGAAGATACATAATGGGATTAATGGTGTGCCATTGACGTTGCCATGAGAAGACTTTTTTACGTATTTCTTTGAAAGATTTGATAAGAGGGTGCTCGAGTTGATCTTCGTCTGCCATGTAATGAACTCCCCACCGTACGTTTCTTCTCATAACGGCCAAGACTGCACCGATTTCTGAATTAACCATAAATGCCGAAGAAGCTCTGGGAGGCGTACAGGAACAATCCTTAGTGTCTCGAGAAACTGCAACTACTTCAGACTGTTGATGTGGGCACCCCATCTTTTCAAGCTTTTTATGGGCCAGCGTTATCAATAAATTTTACATCCAGTTCTTTATGGCAAAGAAAAAGTACGATTTTGGCAGATCATAAGCACCTTCGAAATGAGACGAAAAGCATCAGACGAGATGTTGAATCTGAATAACCAAAATAAGCAACGACAAATGCAGCTAACTTATGCCAATGAAATAAAGCAGACAAGCAAGTGAGCACTTTACCTTGCGATAAGAAACAGGGACAAATCGATCGATCGTTACCAAACCCATTTAACAATACAGGAAACTAACGGGTTGTTTGGCAGTTGCAGAATGGTTTAATTAAGTGGTCAGAATACTTAAGAGGCTCTATATGATATAGTGCAGAATGAAATATGTTCGTTTGATAATTGTTCGGAATGGACAGTCTGAATGACAACAAATTACCATTTTAACCCTCTGTATGATTTACTATCAAATGAAACATAATTGTTTGGTGAATATCTGAATAAAACAATTACTTTGCAAATATAACTATGTACATACTCAATAATACTGGTTCAAAACAGCATTTCATATTAATCCAAACAAGCACAAGCCGCAGGTAATGGGGATTTCCATATTCCATCTCTTCTTAAACAAAATTGCAACTCTTTTAGAGGATTAGGGATTTAGGGGCATTCTTCCTCATATACTTGGCACATTTTTCCAGTTAATCACCTTCCAGATGTTTTTCAAGTAATCTGGCCTCACATTTTTGTACTGCAAATTTTACACAAGACCATCTATTACTACTTAATCATACATAATCATACCAATTTCAATGCCACTAATATTCTACAACAATTTTCACATATCTACACTTTAAGACCTGTTTTAGATGACTTAGTTTCAGGGTATGAAAATGAGAATCAGAATGCCGGGGAATGGAAATGGGAATGAGTTGAGAAATACTTCATTACCCGGTATCTAATAATGACTCATTCCATTGTAACAAACCAGACATCACAAATGATTTCCATTTCCATTCCCCAATTAGTTCAATGCAAATCTTTGTCCATGGCACCTAGATAGAATCAGTATCATCAAATAAAGGTTTGAGGTCCAAGAAATTTCAAATAGAATACAAGTATCAATGGCACCTAAATACATCAATGTCAATGGCACCTAAATACAAACAGAATCTAGACATGTTATCAACCTCTAAACATGTTGGAACCTAAACACAAACAGGTTGGAACCTTTCATTCCAAAAAAAGGTTGAAACCAGGTTCCACATAATCAAATTCTGAGATCCAGTAACCCTTATTCACAAGATATTAACCTGGCCTTTCATACAGAGAATGATTTTCCATATTCTTTACACAGAAAAATTAGTAAGTGGATCACTGTTTTCACTTTTCAACCATACACTAATTAATAACTGGAGGGGGGAAAACCTAATCCCATAAGAGCTATAGATGAAAGAGACATATTCATGGAAGATGCTTGGTAAAATGTTCATTTCAGTATATAGCCATTTTTAAAGCCAAGATTTAGAGCAGAAACTCAAAAACACCCACATAGGATTTAGACCAAATAACCAAGGTAAAATTGAAGAAAGCTTTCATCTTTGCAAATAAGCTTTGTAAAATCGAACAAGGCTTTTCAAAGAAGTCGCTGGAATTTGGCAAGATGAAAAAACAGTAGCTAAAGGAGATACCGTGAAGAACTCAATCTGAACCATAAGAAGGGAAGAAAGAAGAAGGGAAGAAAGAAGAAGGGAAGAAAAAAGAAAAGGAGAAGATACCTGTAGGTCGCTGGCATGAGAGATAGAGGGAGACAACCGGTGAAAACGACCGGTGAGAAGGACCGGCGAGAACGACCGGTGAGAAGGACCGGCGAGAACGACCGGCAAGGGAGAGATCGATGCGTGGGAGGAGCGGCGAGGAAATGATCGATGCTTGGGAGGAGACGCGTGAAGGGTAAACATGGAACAAGTTAGGGTCTGAACAGTTTAGCGAAGCCCTGGATGAAAAATGGTTAAGAGGCTATTGTCATCATTAAGTGGTTGGTTTTTTTTGCCAGATAACCTCAGCCTCTTAGCGATTCAGGCATAACCTCTTAATAGCACCATTAAGAGCTAAACAAACAGCCCCTAACAGTAGTGCAACTTCACTTGGGTGTTTTAGGTCTAGTAATGGGCAAAGCTTACCAGCTTAAAGATCCTAAGTATTCTGTATCAATATAACCTTGTGGAACTGAGGCAATACAATGGTCGGCAGAATCCTTCAAGGAAGCATAAATGATACTCCCTCCGTCCCAAAATAAATGTCCACCTTCGGAAGTGTCTATTTTCCGATTTTATCCTTAATTATGAGATGAGAAATTCTTTACTCTCTTATCAATAAGGCTAAAATTGTCATTTAGTTAATTACAAGATACACATTCCTAAAACCTTGTGTTTTTTTCATTGTGGGCATTTATTTTGGGACGGAGGGAGAAAAAACTTCATTCAGGAACTTTTTTTTTTAATTTAGTTACAATCCAGAAAAATCCTCCAAACTCTAACACCACTCCCTTCTCATCCTCCATGCCACGGCAACTACAGAAACCAAACCAGATGGCAGGCTTGCTGATCCATAAGTTGGACAAAATTAATGAGGAAACATTTCTAGGATTTTAATAAGTCTAGACTTCTAACTATGAGCACTAGTCTTTATACAAAAGGATTTAGGGTAAGATGGAAATAAATCCAAATGGAATTATAAGGGGGTAAAACGGAATTTAAAACATAACGAGAACCTCCCTAAATCTAGCACATGAATGTCATCCTTCCTGCACTCTAAGGCCAACACCATTACATCTTTCACTCACTCGAATCTCTCTTTATACCATGTCAATCTTGACCAACCTCTACCTCTCCTAATGACCTCCTTTTGGTACAGCTCCCCCATTGTCTAACCACATAATATCCCTCTGCATATTCACATTTCTATGGCACTTATTATGTACATCATGTCTTTAAGTGCCGACCACTATGCACTGTCAAAGCATAAATCCTATCCACTCTCAAGTTTACTATTGAGTTACATAACTTGGCTTTCAGCTTTAATGGAACTTATCAATCATGAATAACCCATAAAATTTGCCATTATTTCACATGCCTGCTCCAATGGTAGGTCTAGCATCCTCATCAACTTCTTCATCCTTCAATAATCATGATCCCAAATAAACAAGGATATAATGCCTTACTGCTTCTTGCCCATACATGGTTACCTCTTCTTCCACTTCTCTGTCGACACTATTGTTATATTTGCTTCTAGTCCAGCTTAATCTAAAATCTCAAGGTTTCAAGTTGTTTTTCTGCATCGCTATCTTTGCATAGACACATTGTCTAGTCTCATCAAGCAACACGGAATGACTGATGGAAAGCACAGCGATATATCATCTTGTATGTCTTTCCCAAGCTCATCCGTGACTAAATCCGGAAAAAAAAAAGGTAAGGAGTCAACAGTAACCAGGTGGTAGCATATAAAGCATTTGTCCCATGATCACATGCTTTCAATTTGTTACCACTTGTTGCACTGTACAAATCATGTTCACATACGTGATACATGAAAATGAAATTCTTTTTGTTTTCTAGATCTCAACTTAGTACTTCCCTTGGCAGCCATTCATATGTTACCCCAAAATCAATAAACTCCATATGGAAATCATTTCTACATCCTCTACATCTCTCCATGAATCGCCTGATCAAGAAAATCATCATATTTGTCGATAGTGATGGCATAAAGCCAAATTAATATTCTAGCCCCTTGACCGATGCTCAATAACCCACTGCCCTGATTTCAATTTGTAGCTTATAAGCCTAATAGTCTAATATATTGATAATTTGTACAATTTTGGACATCCCATGTGTTCTTATAGGTTGGTACCAAGGTATCCACCATTAAGAAGGCACTCTATGCATCTTAAAGGTGAACTTAGACAAACTACGCGGCGACACCATGGCCACCTCCCTAATTTCTACCCAAACCCCTATAGAAAGACTATCAACTAGTAAAGTTTTACCTACTCTCATCTTCTCACTATTTCCTTCACATCGAACCCTATGACTCTACGTACAAAATTCTAGTGGAACCATGAAAAGGGTCACCAAGTTCTCCTCCAGTTCCATTGCTGTTTTCATTGAACAAATTGTCAAAATAAAACCCTTCGCCATTTATAACTAAATCATCTTAACTAGTCTTGGTACTCATCCTTGAAAATTCGATGTGGCTTATGTCCCTAGTTTTCCTTCTCTTTATCTCAGTCAGATTTTCAAAATACTATCCCCCTCTCCTACTCTTATTATTAACAAAATAGTGAATTATTCTCTAAAATAGATGCATAATGAATTAATGGTTTCCTTCCTTTTCTCAGACAAGTGGTTCTTTGGCACACAAACAATGCACTTGCATTCCTAAATCAAAATATCACCTATGTTCTCTTTCTCAAAATCAGAAAATTCGAACATAATTCTTCTGATGACACTTGATACATTCAAATCATGTGTCTAATTGTCACAATTCATCAAGCTGAGCTAAAACATTCTTGAAATAGATGAAGCTAAAAACCCAGATCCCAGCCTCCATAAGTTCGAAAAAAGCAAAAACAACTCAAATCATCACCAAATTCAGCTTAAATCGACTTCATTCGATTTCAATAATACAAGAAACGTCAATCGTAACAGATTCCACAGAAATACAAATCGAATCAATCAAGTTAAACATCTGATGCGGATTGATGAAATGCATAATTGAAAATTGAGTAGATTAAGGAAGAAAACAGATCGAAGAAAGTTTACCTTTTTGCGCATCCTCCGAGAGTCGTTCTTGTTGGACCTCGAACAGTAGCAGAGGTGACAAAGTTGTGAGTTATGATGATCTTGATTTCCCTTTACTTGATGAATTTTGGGGGATTAAAATTGGGGAAATTGAAGATCACACAAATGGGGAAAAACGTCTTCTGGGAATGAAGCCATTGTCCTTCAGTTTTGGGTTTTAATTTTTATTTTTTATTTTTATTTTTAAATGATTATTATATTAAATTATTGTAAATCTCACTCTTTTTGTACGCAACCATTGATGAGTAATGAGTATTAAGATTCACAAAAATCAATATTATTTCGATTATAAATCCATCATTATGTATTTAAATAATTAATTAATTATCATTTTTGTTATATAAATTGGTTTTGCAGTTTTTTTTTTTATTATTAACCTGAATATCCAACCCGCTATGCGAGCCGATTAATCTCAGGACGACCACCTGTTTTGCAGATAGTCTGGAGTCATTGCATTTGAACCTCCATGGCCACAAGGGTATTTTTATTCCTCCTTGGATTTGAACCTGGGACCTCCTGGTACTTTTAACCTTTGGAGTCAATCTCAAACCAATCAGGCATCACCTTTGTGATTGATTTTGCAGTTTTTTCGAACAGTACTTTAAAGAAAACAGTAAAATGGCAAAGATCTGAGATAAGCGATATATATGTCTTGTTCCTGTATGGTTGGAGTTGAAGCAGTTTTTCTTGATAATGGCTCGATTAATCTGGGTTTTTTTTTTTTGTGTTTGGGTCAAAGATTAGTGAGGTTGTTTATCTTCTTTTTCCATTAAGTCATGTATGAGTAAAGTTGTTTGTCTGCAAGACGGGAGACTGATGGGTTTGAAGGAGGTAAAGAAAGGTGGTTGGATTATTACTAGGGCATTTCTGTTATTAATTTCTTTAAGGTGGCTTAATGGGAACAAGTGAGGGGTCTCGCCTTATTCCATATAGTCACTTTGGCTTAACCATTAAGCTGTAAAGAATCACTAATGTATGGATGAACGAATAGCCATCGAGCTCATTAAGCAAACAACCCTATTAGCGTATTTAGTTTGATATCCCAACACACAAGAAGTTTGGTGTTCTAACCATTGGGTATCGATCGATCACATTCTACTTCGTTACATATGGTTTTCAGATTAAAAGTCGAATTGTTTCAATCGGCTAATGATTGTCAAGCATCTCGGTTCCGCATATCAATATGGTTTTTGTTGAAGATACATAAATAGGTTTAGGCCCAAAACTGGTCCTAAAAACCCAAATCTATCCTCTATGTTGCACACAGTTCCTAAATTTAGAACGAAATTCAGTTATAACCGGAACCGATTAGGCCTAACTGAATCACGTTTAATAACCATAGCCGTTTTTAGCATGTTAAATGTGTAATTTTGAACAGGGTCCCAAAAATTTTGGGGTCCAATTCTATATTGTTTAGGGTCTTTCATTAACGAATGTAAAACTTTTGCTCATATCAGTACTTCTCTAAATTCTATCAGAAGACAAAATGAATACGTCTCATCGCTTCTGTAATCTATATATATGTATCTTTATTACCTTATTTTGCAGTGTAATCAAAAGCTTTAAGTATAACAAGGTCTCCAAACAGATTGGAACGTATCTATTAATAACCAATGGTAGTTTCATGTATTATGATATGTTTTATATTTTTAAAAAAAATTATTCATGTTTATTTTAAACAATGCAAAATACATTGTTATGTAACTAATTTGTTTTAATTCCTACATATTATAACGGTAAATTGTTGCTCAATTAGTGTAACGTGCGGTCGTAACTTTTTTTTTTTCATACCCATTTTAACCTAATAAGCAGATTTTTAGCCTATGTGACATCAGGCGATTTTGACATAACCTTCTTTTACGTAATCAAGAATAAATATATAATTTAACAGCTTAACATCTACATCTTTAACAGGTACAATATACCTGTTACCAATCAAACCAGTACAAAAAAAAATGTTTGTTATACTAATTAAGAACAAAATTTGATTGTTACACTACAATACTACTTCATAAAAACCAAGATGTATATAAATAATTAATAAACAGTATACTCAAACGAGAAAAGTTCGGTTAAAACCGCATTTTCATTGCAAATAAGAGAACCACCAAGACTGTAACACGTATCCATATTCATCATGAATAACGGACATTAATTTTTCACAATATTCATGACAAATGTCTCTGCACGTAGCATACTCTCAAATGGTCCCCCGATAGCAATGGAAATGTGGTTCTTAACCAAACATGTCCCATACCCTAAAAGAGAAAAAGCCCAGTTAAGAACCGCATTTCCATTGCATACAGGAGACCACTAAAAACACGCCACATGTCAATGTTCATCATGTTGTATGAACATCCCACACACGTGACACGCTCTCAATGATTCTCCAATTCACAATGGAAATACAGTTCTCAACGAACATGCCCCATACCCAAAAAGAGGAAAGTTCAGTTCAAAACTACATTTCCATTGCTCACCGAGAAACCACTGAAAACCCATCACATATCCAAATTCATCATGAATAATGAACCTATACTGATGAATGTCCCAAACACATGGCACTCTCAGTGGTTCAGTTCCCTTGTTCAAAATGGAAATACAGTTCTCAACCGAACCACCCGACACCCAAAAAATTACACACCATGACAAAGAAAAAGCATCAAACAACATTAACAAGCTTCTAAAGTCTAAACCATCTCCATTTTTTCAAGCTCTCAGGTCAAAAACACAAGAGTTGATAAACAGAGAGCATAATTATACAGAAACATCAGCATGCATATAAAAAGTCTGCAAGAAAAAAGGTTGGTTTTCTATGCTAACAAGAACACAAACTGAGTCGACTCGTAGTGAGTCAGCAAAAAGATCGGCTCACCAGCCAACAAAATAGAAAAACTGAACATAGGTATAGTACCCTAAATCAAAGACTCGATATATTTACAGGCTAAGCTTTTCTTCGCCCAAAGGGAGAAAGCCGGTCTTCGTATTAGGAGAGGCTATTTTGCTATCCGTCTTTCTAGAGGACACGAAGCTGAGCGAGAAATGCAGCACAAAGATCCAAGAACAGAAATTGCGGTCCCTGAACCCTTTGTAGATCGAGCAGATACTTGTCCTCACGCGTTTTGTAAAGCTGCACCAAAAAATTTACCGTCATTTTAGAGAGATACTCTCCTCGTGGTTTTCACGGAGTGTGACTACTAATAATATCAAAACAACTCTATGCATTTAGCATCCAGACAGGATAGAACATAACAGAACAAGTGCTCGGGTTTGATAAGATAGAAATGGACAAGACAGAACAGATAAAATGACCAATTTACCCCTGTTCAGGTTTGGTAAGATAGAACTAGACAAGACAGAATAGATAAAATAACCAATTTACCCCTAAGGAGTTGTTTATATTTTTTAATTAATTTATGTAACTTATTAAATTATAATAAAGGAAATATTGTTTATAACAAAATATAAAGTTTTCATCAAGACGATTAAAATAAAAAGTTTATGTAGTTTCCAATTTTTATTCCATACCTTTTCTATACTATTTTTTATTATTAATCTTTACTAAATTACATAAAAACCAAAATATAGAAACCATATAAAAATAATTTTTTGAGGACAGTAAAGCGAAAGTTTAAAGAGTTTAAAATACAATATATGAAAGTTAAAGAATGAATTAAATGTAGAAATGTAGGCACTTTTGAAAGTGGACATTTTGAGACAAACTAAAATAGAAATTTAGGCACTTATTTTTGGATGGGAGGGAGTAAATGACAATTTTACCCTTAATAACAGAGAGTAATGAATTTCATCATCTCATAATTAAGGGTAGAATTGTAAAGCAGTTTTTAATTTTGAGAGTGGACACTTATTTTGAAACAAACTAAAATAGAAATGTGGGCACTTATCCTTGGGGCGAAGGGAATATAATGATTACACATTCCTAAACCTCTGTGCCTTGATATATATTTTGGGATGGAGGCAGTATTTGTTAACCATTTGCACTATAAAATTGTACAAACATAGATTGATTCAACCTCTGATCAAAAAGATATACTCGAGAATAGTTAGAAAAACGGAGTTTACCTGGACTTCAAACTTGACTACATTGGGGGGGTTCATAGCACCGTCATTCTCTAAGATCGTCAACTCATCACCAAAATAATTGTTACTTTGCATAGAGTCGTTTATCATGCCTTGATGATGGCCGGCAACACCCGGAACCCACCTACATTTCATGTTGTAGTGTCCTATCTTTTTCCAGCACACATTCAGTTCTTGCAAAGCTTTGAGAACTTCCGTCATTATCTCACGAGGATGAGCTCGAGACTGTCAAAATGGATAAGAATACTTTTAGGGTGCGTTTGGTATCCGGACAGAACAACAGTAAGAATTTTTCAGGTCATCGTGAGCTTGTAATGTTTCATTTTTTTTTCCATTTGTATAATGATTTCAAGGAAAATAACCTGAAGCCCAAGAGCCCATTTCCTTTCCACTTGGTTTCGAATATTTATTCCTTGATAATCCATATATGTAGTTGGGCGTTGTGCCATAACTGAAGTAGCAGCCTCGTTCGAACTCATACGGCTGAACCCATCCTGCAGTCGTATCAAAATGTAAAGCGGAAATCAGGGAAAAGCAAAGTCTCGACTCTCGATATAGATGCATGCATAGATGTTTAGGGGCATGTTCAAATGAGAACAATAAATATTTTGAGAACATGGAACCAACTATTCATGCTTTAATCATGATGAATGTCGTCAGGGGCTTAGCGGGGTCCCATGCACCCACTCAACCAATTTTTGCAAACAGATTTTCTTTTAGGGGTATGAAAGGTGCATCCGCTAAATTTTGAAGGGTGCTCCGGGATACTAGAAGATACAAAGAACATCAACCAAAAAACCGAAAGTGCCTCGAAATCAACCAAAACCAGAAAAAAAGTCTCTAGAAATCAACCAAAAAAACTTTGCAGGCCTTTGGTCCACCTTAGAGGTCCAAAATCCTGGGTCTGCCACTGAATATCAGGATAGATATTCATGATGAAGATGCGTGATATTCATGATGAATTGTATTATTATTCAGGGTTATTCATTGTGAATAATACATGAAATACATGGTTCTGAGGTTCTCAAAAATATATATTTATGGTTCTCATTTGAACTTCCCTCTACATGATTAAGTACTCTACACTTCCTAAAACACATGCAATAGGTGTTAAAAGACGGAACACGCCACAAAAATATAAAACTAAAGAGCCAAAAGAAAACAATCTAACCATAGGTTTCTGGAATTCAGCTCCAAGATAGCCACTCGAGTTACGAAACCTGTTATCCAGTAGCAAGTAATATGCCACAGTGCCCTAGATAATATGCAAGAATAAGCAACATTGTGACCTCATATCCGTTAACTTACTTAGGACAAAAAAAGCACGCACACACACTAAGATTACCTCATTTTGCACTCGGTTTCGAAGAGACTCAATGAGGGTGTCCCTATCAAACCCCATCTTAACCACCTCTAGAAGAATATCTTCGTCAGTCTGCAGAAATAGAATTACTTTAATTACCCACAGGCGGAATACTTCTATAGTAACACAACTATCAGTCGCGGATCGAGAAACTTAGGTGACTGGAGGCCTTAGGGTATTAAAAAAAATCAAAACCGAAATAAATCACCAAAACCAAAACAGTTTCGGGTTATTTGGTTTGGGGATTAAAGTTAAACGGTTCGGTTAACCAAATAAGCTAAATTTCGATTATTTTTTACCATATCGGTTAACCAAATAGCAAAGTATACTATTATTTAATGTATATAATTTCCTTCTAGATAAATTTGTTTGAACATATATAAAACTAAAAAAACAAGAAATTGAGATATATTTAACAAAATCATCAACCTAATATTATCATTTATCACTGCAGCATGATTGCAAGAACTAGCGGTAACAATGTACGGGGAGAACGACTACCAAGCAAGAGAGTGGAAGGTTTTGTTAAAACAAAAATAACATAGATTACTTTAAAATTTTGACATTTGAGTGGGAGCCTTTCCTGCACCTTTATCAAACTAAGTCCTCCCCTGACAATTATACATTGTAAAAAAGAGCAGGCCATCCAAGAGAACAAAAGCAAAATTCCCAAAAAACCTACAATCATACAGACATACAGTTCTAGAGAACAAAAGAAACAAAAATTTATATACCCACGATCTTCTTTCTTAAAATGCAATTAGAAGAAATTTATTAGGGATAATCACAAAAATAACCAAAATTGGAGTCGACCCATCACAAAATTACCAACTTTTTTCCCAATTAGCACAAAATAATTTATTTCGCAAAACCCACTTTTTTGCTAAATGTAGTTTTTGGCAGATTCTATTGGGTTTGTGGGCCCACTCCACAAAAACCATAAGCAAACCTAAAATATTAGAAAAAAGATGGTTTTATTCACCCGTTTGTGATATGGACCCAAAAAAATTGAAAACATCTGAAAGGTATTGTTGGGAAAAAGGGGTTTTGCAAAATAGGTGGTTATTTTTTGCTAACTTCAGAAAAATTGGTCGGCAGCTCCAATTTTGGCTATTTTCGTGATTAAATAAAAATGTAATCTACCTCGTTGATCCAAGATTTACTACAAAAGACTGCTACTTAGCATAGTTCAGATAATAAAAGCAAAGAGACTTAAAAATGGCACATCTGCAGGGCGTAAATCCGAAGCAAATCTTCACAATTTAGAAAATTGCCTAGCTCCTTACCCTACACTGCAAAGGCTGCAAACTAGGGGTGTGCAGAAAATACAATTAGAACCGACCGCTCATAATTGGATATCCGATTGTAATTGGATTGGATCGGATTGAAAATTTCAACATCCAATTTGGATCGGCTGGTTCTTGGATGGTAGAGTGCAAACCATTACAATCGATAGAGTGAAAGGGTCACCCTACCTTTTTTGCTTGTTGCATAGAATCTGGTGGAGGAACAGCCAAATAGCGGGGCAGATGAGCCTGGAACCAGGGGTGCATACGAATCTCGAGAATAGTTATTCGCTTCATGGGGTCAACCACAAGCATTCGTGGGATTAGATCTCTCGCACCAGGTGATAAGTGGCTGGGAAGGGTATATATACCACCCTGATGAACAAACCAACATTAAGTTTGGATAAGTAATAACAACCATTTCTAATACACTGCATGAATGAAATTCAAACAATTGCATGAGATTGATAAACAATCAATTGTTAGAAAGAGAAAGAAACAAAGGTAGCTAACACGTAAAACTAGCTCCCAGTGGTCACCAGTAAAGTTATATTATTGAAAATATAAAAAAATTACATGAATTAACCAAAATATGGAAACCATATAAAAATACTGTTTTGAGGACAGTAAAGTGAAGATTTAAAAAGCATAAAATGACTAAATAAAATTTAAAAAAAGGAATAAAATGTAAAGAGGGAGGCGTATTTGACGTTTTAGAATAGAAGTAGGTTTTATTTTTACATTATATTGGCAAAATATAGGTATGTTCCACCTTGTTCCATGGGATGGGGGTAGAACATGCCTTTGTTCCTTCCACATAAAAGTCCTGCCAAACATGGAGCAGTGATCCATGTTCTATCCAGTGTACTAAACACACCCTGAAGGTTTGTCTCGTTGTTAACTTCATGGGCCCCATGGGATTAATCCAGGTGCATACAAGCAAGCCCGGACATCTACAGTTATCCCAACAAAAGAAAAAAAAAAGAGCCACACAATTTGAAAAATAATTAAGACTCGCCCTGGGAAAAAACAAAAATTTATTTTTGGCTTCCCTGCCTATCAATACAAACTGGAATGAGCTTGGAAGGGAACAGGCTATGAACGAAAAAGAAAACGCTCATTAATTTCCTAAAACAATCACAAAAACATATCTTAAAGACAAAGCAATCAGGGACAGATAAGCATGAGTTAATATGACGAGACATGATTTCGACTCCATAACATCCGATTAAGCCACTTTCTACCAGGCTTAAACACCAGCTTAGGGCCTGTTTGTTAACAGCTTAATGAGCATAATGGGACTCACATCTTATTCGGTCAGCTATACACGACTATTTGGTAGTGGCTTAATGATATAGAAAATGGCTTATTAATAAGCTTCTAGGGGGAGCTTTATGCAGAAAGCCAATTTTTTTCTTGACCTGCCCCTCCCAATTAAAAAACATGCTTCTTCCATCTTTGAAAAAAACCTCCCAAACAAAAACATTCTCAATCCATACAGACAGATTAATTCACACAAACAACTTTATCCATACAGGACTTAATGGATAACCAACAGCCAATGTACAGGGCAATAAAATTTGTACCTTAATTTTCTTGAAGAGGTTAGGGATATTTTCATCATCAAAAGGAAGGGTACCACAGAGGAGAGCATACAAGATAACACCACAGCTCCACACATCAACCTCTGGTCCAGCATACAGCTTCCCAGATATAACCTACACAAATCAAAGACGGCATAAAATGAGAGGCGTTCAAGAGTAACTAATGGTGGCAGGTCTTCTAAATTAGCTTTGAAACAAAACTATTATGATTTTTCAAGACCCGTCATCACCACTCCGTACCTCTGGGGCAGCATAGTTTGGACTTCCACAGCTTGTTTTCAGGAAATGACCATCCCGCATGATATTGCTTAGACCAAAGTCAGCAATCTTGACATTGCACTTGGAATCCAAGAGCAGGTTCTCAGGTTTAAGATCTCTATGAACCACCATGTTCCTGTGGCAGTATTCCACACCAGAAATTATCTGCTTCAAAGAACCGATGTTAGTCTATGGAGCTCCAGTGAAAATACTTTTATCACTTTTAGAACAAGCAAATACCAACAAATGGAAAGAATATATCCACCTGCTGAAAGAAATTGCGACCCTCATCCTCCTGCAACCTACCCTTCTCCACAATGTAATCAAACAGCTCACCGGACTTCACATACTCCATCACAACATAAATATCCGACGGTGTCTCTATGACCTCATAAAGGCGGATAATATGTGGATGCATAAACAATCTTAATATTTTGATCTCTCTTCTAACTGCAAAATGCAAGGTCATTAACACAGGCTATATCAGTGGTAACTTGATGAATTCTCCATTTCCCGTTGAAGTACATTGCAAGGAAGGTTTTAAAAGGCGGAATCGGGCCTCGAGGCGTTTTCCCTCAACGAGACAACGTAAGCCTTGAACCAATCCAAGGCAGAAATATGTATATATATACACCAAAACATGACACTACAGAAATATATATACATTTATATACAACATATAATGCTAAATTCCTAAGGGCATTGGTTTAGTGGTGCTGGACAGAGGAAATAGTGAAACCGTGAGATAGGCTGAGAGCGTGTGGAAAAATTGGTTGCTTGGAGGAAGAGGAAGGGTTAGACCATACTTTTTGATTGAGTGGAGAAAATATTGGCTTTTTGCATTTTAAAATATAAAAAATACACATTCAGCCCATTGGGCTTTAAATTTTAGTTTTTTAAGGTAAAGAAAGACACTTATACTATAAAAAGAAGTACTACTACTACCATAAAGCTTATAAAAAAGCTAAAAAACCATTACCAGAGCAGATCATCTAAGGCGTACGCCTAGACAACGCCTCATGCCTCACCCAACCGAACCAAGGCGTAAGCCTCGTCCAGGGTCCAAGAGGCGTCGCCTCAAATGAGGTTTTAAGCCACCTCGCCTCGAGCGTAGGCCTCAAACGATTTTCAAAACCATGATTGCGAGCAAATGGTGAAGTGATTCATCATTTGGTATTAGGTTCCTACCTTTTTCTTCCATGTCCATGTTTTTGATCTTGCGACGGTTGAGGATCTTTATAGCAACTTTGTGCCCTGTCAAAGCATGCTCTGCGATTTTCACCTTCCCAAACGAACCAATGCCAAGCGTTTTCCCAAGCTTGTAGTTCCTTAAGAACATGTCCACACTGCTCCCACCATGTCCTGTTCCCTCCATATCTTATCCTGAAGAGATGGTTGGAAGATCAATTGCTTATAAAATATACATTTAATCAATAAATAATTGCATAAGACCATCCAGACAAAGCTTCCATAAGTTAATTCAATGGAACGGACCAACTTCTTTCACAAGTATTGTTGATTTAGCATTTTAGCCTTAACAGTGACAAGTTCACTAATGAGCTTTCATTTATATGGCAAGTCGCAAGCTCACATGCATGCACTTCCAAGTTAATGATTCTACAAAGTCCACAAATATATATATATATATATATATATATATATGGTCAGATTCAAGGAAAAACCATAAAAAAATGAAAACTGAGAAACACCCTAATAACCATTTACCTGGACAGTATGCACACACGCATACAAGTAAATTGTAAGCAATTTGTCTGGTATGCACATGTCCATAACATGCACACATGCATAAAAACCAAGAGACAACTTCAATTACTTGTATGCACATTCAGTTTTTCATTTTTTGGGGGGTTTTCCCCTGAACCTCCCTCCCTCTCTCTCTCTCTCTCTCTCTCTCTCTCTATATATATATATATATATATCAAGTAAAGAGTATAATAGAGGATTCTATCCCAATCTACAATAACACTATTTGGGATTTTCTGTATAGGAGAGAGAAATCATGCAATTCTTTATGATTAATCATCAAACAATTGAGAATCAACTACTTCCTCTGTTCCATATAAGATTGTAATCTTTACTCACCAACGTGGTTAGAGAAGTGTTTAATTACTAATCAAATGTAAATTTCCATCAAGTAATTACAAATTACTGGTCAATAACATCAATACTTTGTAAAGGTGACAGTAAGCAACTATGTAACTTGAGCTGAAATGGTCAAAAAGAAAAAGAACTGTTGCAAATTAGTATCGCATATTCCAATATGGAAATCGTTTCAATTTAACAAGATGAAGGGAGTATTCCAATAAGAGGAGCAGGTTTGATTAAGATTTTGCTGCCAAAAATAATCAAGAAAGAAAGAGTTCTATATGTTGGCCTAGAGTCACCTGAAACAGGCATCATAAAAAGGTTATTTGGCAAAGAAAAACATAGTTGCACAAACCATTAACAAGTCAAGAGTAAATCAAAAATAAATAGGAAATAACATGGTCTAAAGATGTGCTATCGACTGTCATACTTGATGAACAATTATACGATATAACTTCAAGGTGTGTGTCACTAGGAAAGAGTAATTAACATCTTAAAGCTCAAACAACATGATATATAAATATATAGAGAGAGCGTGATTCTTGTAAAAGATACAGATGCAAGTTGCTTGTTGTGTGAGTAACGTAATCCAAGAGTGAAACCATGTCAAGTTGAGGAGTCAAAAACAATTAAAAATAGAAGGGCATAAATCAGAAAACACCAAAATCTGATTTAGGTTCCCTTAACACCAAAGTATATCTCACTTATTGACATTTAACAAACCAGGAACATGAAACTACTTTGCCCACCTCTACAACAAATTGATATTGATATTGATATTTCACTCAAACAATTATAATCAACTAAGGGCCTGCTTGTTAGCAGCTTAATGAGCTTAATGGGACTCACAGCTTTTTCCGTCAGCTATAGATGATTGTTTGGTAATTGCTTAATGATATGGAAAGTGGCTTACTCAGCAAGCTTCTAGGGGGAGTTTTATGCAGTTAACCAAGTCTTTTCCAAACCTCCCCCTCCCAGTTAAAAAACACCCTCGTTCTATCTTGAAAAAGCCCTCCCAGACAAAAACCTTCACAATCTATACATACAACTTTATCCATACATGACTTAATGTAAAACCAACCAAACAGCTAAGCGTTCATATTAGTGTAAAGGTAACACTTTGAACACACTTTGAACACTCTTTGCCAAAAACCTGCAAAAGCTTAATTTTCCCAACTTTCCAGGCAAACAAAACTTGCTTACACGTATCCAGTAATCAAACCCCAAATAAAATGGAAATCATACTTTTATTTAAACCATCATACAAGGAATCTCATCTCGTCACATCACCATAAAAATTGAAAAGTCTAAAAAACAGAAAATTCATTAAAGTGCAGATTAAGTTCTTCAGGAGCACAAGCAAATAATAATTGATCGATTTACCAACCAAAATACCCGAATTCCAAAGATCTGAATTCAATCATTAACAACAACAACAACAATCCCAAAAGAAAACATGAAATTATGCATCTAGACATGCAAACAAACAAAGAAATTTCGCAGACTAACCCAGTAACGAGAAACGAGCTCCGTCAAATCTTAGGGTTTCCCGTTTTCCAATGATCACTCGTAACTGCAAATTTCCGTCAATAAACACAAATGTGAAATCAATCGCAAAGATTCCTCGAATGCATTTTTATTAAGGAAATTAGCAGACAAATAGCGACATCTGGAAAGAAATGAAAGAAAGGAAAGAGGAAAAAAGTGATAAAGATTCGCATACCTTTGTAATGCAACAAGGGTTTGATAGAAGAAAACCTTGGTGAATATAATTGAAGAGATTCACTTCTCTCTTCTCACTCGAAATAGACATCGCAATATAATATTCGATTATTACATACTAAAAATAAACTAAATAAGAATATTTTATAAACAATGGATTCACCAATTTATGTGTAATTTCACATTATTTTGACTTGATTTATATTTTAGATAAAATTTTTATTTTGATATTTAAATATAAGGTTTTAAACATTTAAGTATCTAAATAAACGATTGAAGCATTAACCGGTTATCATGCTGATGTGGTATCTAACTCAGTATTATTTGCTAATGTGATCAGTAACATGGATGTGACACGTCATAATCTGTGATCGTATAAAACATTATTTGGTTTATCATTTTTTTTAGTTTTTAGTATATAGTCTAATATAAATTGTTGGATATCATTAATTTGTGGAGTAATAGTATGAAAACATATATGTATATATGTATAATTATATATATGATATACAAATTTGCCGTCATGTGTGTTGAAAAACGTTGTGACTCGTAAAACCTCGGGTTCGACCTTACCACCATGCATCACGTCGTTTAAAACCTAGTTATATACATGGAATTACCACTAAAACTGATAACTACTTTAAGGGGTCGTCTACCCAAATACTTACTCGGTAAGCGCTTACGGGTAGTAGTCAACACTATAATCTGTTTTACCAGATAATATTATAGTATATTAAAACGGTATCATATACAATAATTTACCCGGGTAAGAGTCATTGTCATCACTTACCGGGTAAGACTCTCTATCTTTATTATCGCTCTTACCAAGCAAGTTTACAGGATCTAAATTTACCATTATACATAGTTGAATCGAGTAAAAGATAAAATTATGACCTACAATAAAAATATGATAAATTGGTAGCTGCAGTCGAGCTTAGGTATTTAACTCTTAAAAACAAAACCAAATGTACCTGTAATATTTTAAAATGTACACAGACTCACCTTTATCCCATGCAACCATTTCACTGTAAGACATTTGATTATACACAAATCATTTTACTAACTTTATCGTTACTAAAAGCCTAAAACAGTTTATTAAAAAAGAGTAAGTTTCTTTCCAAATCATTCCACATTTGTGTGTGTGTGTATATATATATACAAGAAGCGTACTCGCGCAATGCAGCGAGATACATCGTGATTTTAATATTTCATTTTATTATTTATCTCAGTCGATGTTATAATACGGCTTTATGTGATTTTGAGAAAGC